TTTAGGTCATTGCACTATAGTTTTCCAGGTGTAACAAATACTAAACTTTGAAAGTATGATACATGTTTTTTAAAACTATATTTAAACCACCATTATAAAAGTATTAAAAATATATAATTCTACAATGATTAACTGATTTGTTTCAATAAAGCCTGCTTTAAAAGCAACTGAGACTCCATTCATCATGCAAGAGGGTTTTATTTGCACCTTCTTAAAGACTATGCATCACTCAAACGATTCCACTTTTCCTCCTCATACTCTGTCCCCTTTCTTCCCCCATTCAGCCTTGTATTTCTCCAGCTCCTCCAGGTAGCTCACAGGAGGCCAGCGGTTCTCAGTGACATATTTCAGGTTCTCCCCCTCCAGCTTCTTAAACTCCGCCCGCTGCTGGAAGGCCACAAAGTTACGGGAAATGAGATCAAGGCACCACTGGGCAAGCTGACTGGCATTGCACATCTGTCAAACAATCAGACACGTAACAACATCAGTGCAAAAAATGAAATTATTTGACATGCAGAATTGCTGCGTCTCCAACAAGTCGAAGTATACTTCTGCACACCTTTCGGCAGCAGTGCTATTTTGGATGAACCAAAAAGGTGTTTGCCGCAATGAATGCAAGTCAATTACACTTTCGCAATATGAACCAAACTGTGTACATGTAATTCTGCCAATGACAAACAGCGACAATTCATGAATCACCGTGGTGTTAGATTCCAAACTTCCACTGATTGATATTGAGACACTGTTCTTCAGTTTCATTGACACTGCTTACACTAAGACGTTGCTCCAAAGCTGGTGACAAATTTGATAATAAAAATTAAAACTATATTTCCTTGCCCTCCTCAAATCTAATGAAATCTACACAGCAATAATGGAGAGTACAAAGATAACGTCAGTGATACACATCCAAAAATACACCTACTGGAAAAGTTAAAGGAACTTTCTTGATATTTTTCTGTCATGGCACCTGTATAAATAAGTTGTGATTAAAAAAATACTTAACAGTCTAGGCTTGAATTTGATGACTGAAGACAGGAAGACTTGGAGTAAACATTTAGAACTCAATGTTCATGATGATTCATTCATATCTGAGAATTCAAACATGAGCTTATTAGGATGAGCTTACAAACCTGGGCTGTATGCAACAGTCCAATGACATCCACATGTTCCTCTGTCACATCTACCCCCTTGGTGATGTACAGCTCACAGAGATTTCTCAGTCGATCTTGGCCATACCGATCAGCAGCTACAAGGATCCCCACGGCATCACCCTCCTCTATAGGGGCGTGGTCAGTGTACAGGTACTCCAGGAGGGCCAAGAAACACTCCAGGCTCACGTCTTCTATTCTAATCTGAAACACCACGAGACAATTCTCCTCTTCGTTATTTGGATAAATTTGGCAGAGCAGATTATTATGGCCATTAATGTCCATCATCAACATGGCATCATCGATACATCTCAGCTTCGTGGTCTAGATTTACACAACTCAAGATTCCCAGGCTAATTCCACAGGTTCTGCCCTTAGATGAGGGCACTTTGTCACCACTGTTTCAGTAATATATCCTTCCAGAAATAAAGAGATACACAATCTTCTTACTATAGGGACGATCACTGTGAACCATCAAGCCATTTCCAGTTAAACAGAAGCATAGGGCCGTATAGTTGATGTAGACTGAGATATTCTTTGCTTTATGAATTGTTTCATAGATTTAGAGAGCTGAAGTAATGATGATGTAGCATCAAAGATGCCTTTCTTCTGGTAGAGTCTGTGCACGTCAGTTTTTGTTCCCCCTGACTGTTAGTGTTGCTCCACAATGAGGCCCAGACTCAAATTACCTCATCTTGGCTGCTTTCAGTGAAGTCTCCACTGAACATGCCATTCATAAACCCACAGCGAGATGTCAGCATCACCTTGTGAGCATAGACTGTTGTGTCTTCAATAAACAAAGCGGAAAAAGGAGACTTTCATTTCAATGTCGTTATGGGACTGATGGGGCAGGTGGCAGACTTAAACCCAGATGAAAAGATAAAAACAGTTTTTCTGCTACTCTCCATTCAGAAAGAATTTGATTTGTACGCTGTCTAATCCTATTCCTGAGGAGGAAACCTTGCACAACCCACACCACCCAAATGCATCAAATTCCAGCTCCATGGAGCGCTGTTCTTTACTAAAAGCCAGGGATATCCGAGGGAACCATCAGGAAGAGATACAAGACACAGCGTACCTTCAACTTTGAATCGGATATCAGACAATGTCTGTTTGTTCAGGAACAACCACTTGGCCCTCTGTCCTGTCTGATCATTCAGGTAGGTTCCAATGCTAGGATTCAGGAACTTTCCATCATTCTGTAGGTTCTTGACGATGCTGTCCAGCATAGGCAAGTAGAATGTATTGGATGCTTTCTGTAAAGCCACTAGGTCCTCTGTGCTGGTCCCATCTGTGATGCTGGGAAGGCCTATAATGTCAGAAACAGTTCAAAAGGCAGAATTTCAGAAGAGGAGGGTTTCTTCCGTATTGGGAGTTTGCATATACATTCTACTTCACAGAAATGGAAAAGCATTTCTGAACTGTATTACCATTGGCCACTGATTTCTTCAACAATTATGGGATGATTGAATTAGGAGTACTTCTATTACCTGTGTACAAAAACTCCAAGACATGGTGGAAAGTTTGG